TACTATTAACAGTAGTAGTATTGATGCTTTTTCATAATTTCACCACATTCAAGGCGATAAAGCCACTAAAAATATAAGAAAAAGAAAACCTTAAGGAGAGAGAAAAATAACAGAAGTGGGATCAAGAAGACGGTAGATAACAATTGACATTGCGTTTAAATTTGTTAAAATCAAAGTACTGCGCTTAAATTCATAAAGCTTTATTGTAACGGCTCTGTGATCTTTACAAAGAGTCTATCAAGCTCACCAGTTTACAAGAAAATACCAAACGCTTCATTTGGGTTGGCTTGGTTTGCTTTGCTTTACGGCATATCAAACTCAATGTACAATTCTGATGCTGTTAAGGAATGTGTGACACTGAAATCCGAATACGCATTTGTATGGCCAATGATGGACCCCAAATGCTGACAATTTTTATTGCTTGTTGCTGAATAAATCTTTATCGTAGTAGTCTCAGTATAGGTATTAAGTATTATATCAGTATATATTATTATATTGGTTTATTATTAATAATAATATTATTACTAGTAGTATCATGATTTTTTTTTAAATTTCGCCCAACCAACTCGGATGAACCATCTGGGTTTTCTAACTATCAACCTATTAGCCTTCTACCACTTATTTAACAACGAACTAAAGGTTTAATTAACTCTAAATTGCTTAAGCATCTCACATCACAGGGGTTTCTTTCAGATAAGCAATATCCCTAAACACAAACCACTAATCTGCCACTGGGTGGCATGCCACTAGCTTTTATCGCTGGTGACCCGCTGTCGAGACGCTGGTGCATTCGTCTGGGCAATATTACCACTGATGGAACGCTAAAGGCCCAGCAGTGGCCCTCCGATGGCAGCCACCGGAGGAGAGCTTGCGTTGCTATCGGCGACCCGCCAGCGGGTCACTAGCGGCTTGCGTGTAGGGAAGGCTTTCGCTTATCTAGGTCAACTGGTGATGTGTTAAGGGTTATTGCTGAAAGAGTCAGTCAAGCTCTAGATAAGCATAGTGAAGCTCGGTCTGTTTCTTTGCATATCTCGAAGGCAGTCTTTCTTATCAAATTGTGAAATTAAAGTTATCTGTGATGGCCACTCTCCTAGATCTTATTGCATAATTTCAGGTGTTTCTCCCAGAGTACTACACAGGAAAGCTACATTGCGGGGACGTGAGATTCCCAGATTCCTGGTCAGGACCTATAATATTGCAAATTCTTCTTTGTATTTTATCAAGAATATCTAAATATATAGCAAAAGCACTAGACCATATGTGGCAGTAATAATCAAATCATAGGCAAATGGTTGACTTATAATTATGTAACAGATTCTGGAGAGAAAAAAATTGTCTAGCATAATCTCTAAAGTACTCTTAATTCCTACTGGGCAACTTGTTTCTTTTACTCTCTCCCACTGTTCTCCTGCCTCACTGAGGGGGTGTAGAACACCGTGTAGCGAAGTCGTAGCTCACTTGTCGTATGAGACAGACGCCAGTGGACTATCCATTTTCGAAGATTCGTGGTGATTGATGTAGGTTTAGCAGAGTACAAGCTATTCCTTATGGCAGTTACCAGCAGATTGTAGGCCATTTTTTGAGATCATGTGCTAATTTCACCTTATCAAAACGATCAGACTTAGTATTAAGACAGAGGCAAATAGATGTGTCATTAGTAGAGTTCCCTGTGGGCACCTCAAGGTGGTGTAATGGTTAACAAGCTTTTCTCGCTAGAACCATTACGGCTGAATAGTGAGTTCGATCTTCACTGGGTGCCCCCTATATTCGGCCTTGTGCCACATCTAAGCTATGATCGGACAATTCTTTTCGTATAGTTCACTGTAATTAATAATACTGATATTGAAAACTTATTGTTATTTTATATTGATTTATCATTAATATTTTTTATATAGTTTAATCTCATTATCATCTTAATATTAGTATTACGGCTATTATCACTGTTCCATTATTATTATTATTATCATTATTATTTCCTTTGGTTTCTGGTGTGTACTCGTTTCTTTCTGAGTTTCGACCAGAGACCTGGTCAGAAATGGCATCATTTTCATTGAGCAGTTTTGAAGAAAAGATTCGCACTTATTTTACATAGAGTCTTTCGTAAGGTGTGGGCTGTACTTGCGAAAACAAGATTTTGAATTTCTTTAAGGTGTGACACTATTTAGCGGTCGCGTGAAAATGAAAAGCGAGAAATAATTAAAGCGAAAAGAAGCTGAAATAATTAAAGCTATAAGAAGGCAAGAAGAAGCTGAAATAATTATTCGTAAGATATCGTATCTGTGGAATTAATTCATGTTATGACGCGGTGAAAGAAGATAGCAATCTGTCCAGGGCAATAATGAAAATTTCAAATTGGTCAAGTGGCCTACAAAACAGAATGCTAGGAGATAATGTTAATTAGGCACGTATTGACCGAGAAACACCTCAGCTGAGAACCACCCCCAAGGAGAGAAGGAAAGGAAGGGAAAAGAGAAAGGAAAGGAATAAACCATTAACTAACCTTCAGAGATATCATTTGGTTTTGGGAAAGACACTTGTTTTATTGTCCAAACCTGAACATGATAAAAGTTGATACCGAGAGAGATAATTAGCAATACGTCCAGTTAACCACCCTCTTGACTCTGGCGAAAATCTCGATTGATAAAGTCCAGGTGACATTCGGTTAAGATAGAGATTAGGGACCACACCACGTGTCGTGGGAGGTCTGCTCGGGGAAGAGAAAGAAAGAAAAAGAAAAAAAAAAAGGAAGATAATTTTTTTTTTCCTTTGAGCGAAATTTTTAAACTGAGGCCAGTCTAGCCACACCCACGCTGCTGGGCGTTCATTGGCTGAATGGTGGTGTGAGCGGTAGGCGAAGGTAAACTATGAGAAGGGAGGGGAAACCTGTTGACGCCCTCTGATGGGATTGGCATGAGATACCAATGTGAGAAAGGAAGAATTTGGGAGGACGATTCCCTTAAAGTAGAAAGTAATGGACTTCCGAAAATGGAAAGTAATAAATTTTCCTGTCCGAAAACAAAGAAAATCCTTATTGTGGATTTAGAATTATCAAGGAACCTCAAACCCCGACAGGCCCACCCCGGTTTTGGTCGGCGTCCATATAAGCAGAGTCGCAGTAACATAGAAAATAGTTGGAGTTGGAGTTGGAGTTAAGTTGGCATTTGAGTTGGAAATAGAGACGCAGAGTTGAGCTGTGGGCTCTGAGAGCCGCCTCGCAGAAAGCTGACTGAAAGATATCCACGCATTCTGACCTCAACTTCTAACCAAAAACAATTTATTTTTGAAGAACGACTTAGACTCACACCACCAAAACAAGTTTTACGAATATCGCCTGAAGACACCAAAAACCAGTTTCTTGAAAAACAATTTAATATGTTAAGACTCGCCTAACAAACACAAAGTGTCACGAATCCATATTAGCGGTTTGGGAGAAAGACGCAGTCCTGTATTCAGCAACCAGATATAAAATATTGTTATTCTTTTTTTAACACATTTGAACTTTTCGAGTTGTTACTTTATTTTCTTTTACATATACTTGTGCGGTGTTACCTTTGCTCAGACTCGGCTTGCATTGCGGCCCAGTGACTGATTGATTTCGTCTACCTAAGATCAAATCACAACGTGGGTAGGTTAGACTAGAAATCAAAGCAGTTATTTCGGTAACCAGACATTGGAGGCGAGATGGGAACGACAAAGCTGATACCGAATCTAACCAGATTCCCATCCGAATCAGTAAATGGATTGAACGTCATATTTGGTGCCGCGACCAATACCAAGTTCACATTGATCGTCACAGGATAGCACGGGGGCAGAGAGAGGCTGGGATGACGTCACAAAGGCACGGGCTACCAGGAATTCCTTCATTGAGTCTATTAGAAACTTTTCCATTCGATCCGAGGGCTCCAACTACAACTGGAATTGTTGATGTCCTCATGTGCCACATTTTTGAGATTTCGATTATTATTATTATTATTATTACCTTTCATGCGTTCAAACAAATATTTGGCTGTTATTGTTGCAAATTGAGTTTCCTCAAATCTCCATGTATATTTCAAAGTAATCTCGCAGATCCCAGCCACACCACTGTCGGTGGAAGAATTTTTTTTAATGTTTACCTTGTACTAGGCGCGAGTGCTACTCGAGGTAGGGTTAGGAAATAAGAGGAACAACTCATACGGATATGTGTAGTAGATAACCCTAGACTTGTAGGTTAAGATTATAGTCATCTGGGAAGCAACCTCTTGGGAGTCGATTCCACAAGGTACCATTTCGTGGGAAGAAGTTGCTTGACTAGAAATGATCTCACCAACTGAAAAAGAAGAAAATGAAGGTGGTTAGCTACAATCTGAGTGGCATGGTGGGTCTTAACCGTGAAGCTTATGACTAGTGAAACTAAGAGGTGTGTCGTTCATCTGAACACTCTCCGTGGAAATAGCGATAGAGTAGGGAGGTGCTCGTCTGTGAGAAAGGGTCGACAACATTTGACTTACTTTTTGAAAGCCCAAGTATCTAGAAATTATGCTCCAGTAAAATATAGGGTTGCCAAATAATTCTACGTGTAGCGAAATAGGACAGATTTTGAAAGCTCAGCTTTACATAATATTGAATTGACTTTAGTCCAAGTTAATTTCAGATTAGTGCCAAAAATCACAAGTAGCAAAATACAAGACTGAGTAATGTTGGACTTTCAAAAGTAGCCCCAAATGTTGTAAATAGTTACTTAATTCGATTTCTACGACATATCAACACTTTGCGGGTTATTTAAAGACAGAGAATATTTTTAGATTGTAAGAATATTATTTTTATTTTTTGGAGATAATAATAGTTTTAGTGATACAAGTCTTACTAATTAACCCATAGCTGGGGAGAAGTGGTGGACTCATACCTTTCCCAATGGTATTTACGCGTAAATGTAGATAAAGAACCCAACAGGAATTGGAACTCGGTTCTCCGATTAACAATTTCGAGCCATTATTCATTACCCCATCCGCACATCCAAGATTGCAGCACCTGTAATTCCCAAGTGGTCACCCATCTAGGTCTGGACCAGGCTCAGCGTTGCTTAACATCGGTGATCGTAACGAAACTGGTGTTTCAACATGATGTGGCCATAAGCTCAAATGTTGCAAAAGTACCCCAATATAGACACTAGTGAAAACTACCAATTGTTATTGGTATAAAAATTCAAAGATTACGAATAATAATAATAATTCTATTATAATTCTAATTTTCCCTTTTTTTGTTATTTAGTCTGCACGACCTTTACGCCCTGCCAATATCTCATAAAAAATGAACTATTCCGTTTTGAAAACACGGAAATGACATATCAGAGGCGCTACTTGGTTTCAGCGAGAAAATGAAAAAAAGAAAGAAGGAAGTGTAGACGTGATTAACGTCTCCTGCCAATACCTCATAAATAATGGACTATTCCATTTTTATTGCGTATAAAGATATATTAAAGACGCTACTTTGTTTCAGTAAGAAAGAAAGAAAGAAAGAAAGAAAGAAAGAAGACGGGAAAAATTAAAGAAGTGTTTAAATTCTGTTTCAGTGAAATGAAACAGTTGTCAATTTCAAATCGTTTCATTTGTACCCCCTTACTTCTTAAAATAAGGACCGGCATTGATATTTATCATTGTTACGGATATTTTGTTGTCACAGAACTCACCACGAGCTTAAGAATTAAGATTCATCAGAATATTAAAATAAGAAAACCGTGAAATTTTCAAGGGGCTTTCTAGCAATAATACAATAATTTCTCATGTATAATACGCCTTCATCTATAATACGCACCCCTAAAATTGTGCTGAAAAAGTGTGTGAAAATGCTTCTACTCATGCATAATACGCACCCTTTGTTTGGTAATCAAACCCTATAAATTGTACACCTTCATTTTCATTACGGCGTTGCTTACTCTTATTTTTAAAAAGTGGTATAAACATAGAATAATATTATTCTAGTTTAGTTTTATGATAATTCTTATTTTATTTTACGGCAATTTTTAAACTTTTTTTTGCTGTGCATAATACGCACCCCTAATTTTATTTTAGAAAGAAAATGCGTATTATACATTGAGAATTACGGTAATAATGATCGTAGGAGAAACTGCTATACAGCAAAGCAATCCTCACAGAACTATAAGCTTTACCAAGATTTATTATTGGTGGACACTCACTTAACAATTCAAGATACGTTGATGAAACCGTGGTTATGACAGACACAGAAGGAAACTGCAAGAACTCTTACACAAGGTAGTAAAGGAAAGCGAGAAGAAAGGACTAACTATCAAATGTAGGAAGTCAGAATGTATGGTCATTAGCAAAAGGGACAGTCCAAGATCCGTGATACAATTTGGAGATGTCAAAATCAAGGAAGTATCTGTGAAGTGTTATAACAGACAACGGAAAATGTGATACAGAAATGGGAACGAGTATTGGAATGGCAAAAGATGCCTTCCTGAAGCGAAGCAAAATATTAAGAAACAGGACAATTTCATTAGAAACAAGTGCCGAATTATTATATAATATCAATTCTCCTCTCAGAAAGTGAATACTGGACAATCTCCTCATGGATTGCGAGGAGAGGATGCAACAGAAATATCGCTCAACAGAAACCTGATGAGAATAATACCGTGGACGGAGATAATGATTAATGAGTACTTTTTAAAGAAAATGGAAGCAAAATGGACACTTTTATATCGAAGCAGAGAGAGATAGAGAGAGTTGGAATTGATGGAGCAAATAATGATGAAGTATTTAACACTGACAGGATAGACAGAAGGCAAGAAAGAGGGAAAGAATCAGCAAATAGCCTACCCCACAAGCTTATGTAAATTGGTGGCAGAGAAGGGTGCGGGAAGAACAGTAAAAAAAAAAAAAAAAAAAAACAAGAAGCAAATATTGCTCAGAGCCACAAATATCTGGAAGTTATGGAGAGCCATAATCTTCCACGTCCTGAAGGGACACTGCACATAAAATAAAAGAAGAAGAATTGCAGACGAAGAAGAGGGCAGTGGTGATGATGTTGACACTGACGTTAATAAGCCAGAGTGGCGTTTCGTGGCCTTGGGTCAAAATTTCCTCACCATTCCGACTCTGTTGGAATGTCAGGCAAATTAACGCTACGCGAAGACAAGTGAGAAGATAAATTAGCAAAAAGAATTCTGTTTAATGAAATAAAAAAAAATGGCCTCAAGGCAACGAAGTCGGAGCCTTCAGGCCCGACCTCTATTCCCGCGAACGGCACACCCACGGAGAACGGCGCGTGCCTTATTTTAAGAAATGTTTTAAACCGAGAAATGCCCAACAAACTCCTGGAGTTGTCATCATTATTTATTTATTAATAACTGAATTTTTCCGTGGATTCTTATTTTTGGTGCTATATCTCTTCAGTGCATAGGCAACGGCGTGACCCTAGGTAAATTTTGGCCCTTTACGATTCCACTTCGACCTTGTACTACCAAACTCGCTAATTATTTACTATTCTACCTGGATAATTAAATTTATGCACCTGATTGATTTTGACCTTTTCAATACATACATCACACCTGTTGAAAACCATTCCCAAACCTCCCAAATGCGAATAATAATAATAATAATAATAATAATAATTGGAAGAGTAGAAACATATTATTTATGATGACTGCGACTATTACTCATCTTAGACTGCTTTTCATTTTAAGGGTGTGGCCGATTACGTTTCTTAATTATGGCAAACATTATGATGACTGTTATTACTCATTTTATTTTACATTACGTCTCTTCATTAGAGCAAAAAAAATACGGACGTAATTAAAAGGACACAAACGAAAAACTCTGGTAGTTTAATACGAAAGAAAAAAGAGAAAAGAGAAAAAAATAATACAATTAAAATAACCGGTTATCGAGCTTCCCTCATCAGAAATCGATCGAAGAAATCATTTTTTTTCTTTTGCTCAACCGACTAAAAGGAAACATGAAATAGAAAATACCCAACTATCAATAATATAGACTGGTATATATATATATATATATATATATATATATATATATATATATATATATATATATATCTGTGTGTGTGTGTGTGTGTGTGTAGAGGATTGGTGTATACAGAATATATTCCAATGACCAAAAATATTATTTTTTAAAAGAGTGCTCAATACAGAGTAGAGCAATTATTATTTATTCGAAAATTATACCATAAATATATTTTAAAATCATTACAAAATTAGCCATTTTGCTTCTGATGTCTTATCAAGTGTTGCTGTTGAATTGATAAGACACCAGAAATGTTGAAACAAGATGGCTAATTTTGTAGTGATTTTATAACATATTGATGTTATAATTTTCGAATAAATTACACACACACACACACACACACACACACACACACACACATATATATATATATATATATATATATATATATATATATATATATATATATATAGTAATTATGCAATATGGTAATCCGTATGGAATTTCCGTGAGGATATAGATCCAGGAGAGCTCTATGTCAAGAGCAAAATTATTGTTAATTAAAGAATATCAAACACTTAAAATCCCTTAGGTAATAATTTTAAAATCCCTTAGGTAATAATTTTTATTTCATGAGAGCTCTAAAATGTAGCTCTACAAACAAATCCCCTGATTTATTTTGTAAGTGATTTGTTTTTAAGCCTTGAAGATTGAGAGGTGCTTTTTAGAGCTCACATGAAATAAATCTTCGGCAATCTCGGCATTCTTCGGTAAAACCACATATCTAACGTTTCAAATCTCTTCTTCATCCGTGAAGAGATTGTCCAGCATTCACTGTGTCATGGGTCCTTACCTACAACTACAGAATGAACTCTTCCTAACACTATGTATACTACGCCTCTCAAGAGAGAGGGACGAATCGAGCCGAGCTTCTCGGCTTGACGGTCGAACTCTCTGCTTCTAAGCAGAAAGGAACCCGGACGAGGTTCCGCCGAAGGGCGGAGTCTCGTTCGGGGAGAAATGACCAACCCGATCTCGTTTATACGGGTTATATGGGCATTTATTGGCTGAGCCTACGGGCTTGGGAAACCCACGATAAACTCGGCCTTGTGCTACATGCAACCCTCGTGGGGGGCTAGATACCGAATCGAGCCAAGCTTCTCGGCTTGACGGTCGAACTCTCTGCCTCTGAGCAGAGACTAACCCGGACGAGGCTCCGCCGAAGGGCAGAGTCTCTTTCGAGGAGGTTGACCAACCCGATTCTGTTTTTACAGTTTCTACGGGCATTTTTTGGCCGAGTCTACGGGCTCGGGAAACCCACGTAAAACTCGGCCTTGTTCCACATCTTTTCCTGGGGGGTCAATTAAATATCGAATCGAGTCGAGCTTCTCGGATTGACGGTCGAACTCTCTGCCTCTGAGCAGAGACTAACCCAGACACATCTTTTCCTCGTGGTGGTGGGGGGCAAGTAAATATCGAATCGAGTCGAGCCGATAGTAGTTCATTCCAAATCAGACTGACAGTCATACTAACACCTTCCACATCTTGTATTTCTACTCTTGTGTTCGTGTTGTTCTTCCTTGGTCCTAATCTGGACCATAACACACTGATATAGAATTTTCAGATATTATATAGAAGTCCAACACTCTTTTTTTTCTTTTTTTTTTCTAGTGAAATTTTCCTATATCTTAATACTTTGTTTAGTTTCTAGAAGGCAACTTTCGCTTTTCATATTTCATTTTCACACCTGCCCTCGTTTGTAACTATGGATTAAATAACATCAAATAGAGGGCACCATTCAACGCCATAGGCTTTCGCAGTACTTAGACTTCATTGCTGTCAGATTCAGTTAATTTTCTTTAAGAATCAAATGAGAGAATATCTCTTGAAATTTCCTGCATCCTTTTTTTAGTACCTCTGTTGACCAAAGTTCAGACAGTCCTGAGCCATCTTCTAATCTCGCCTTTGATGATTCCATGTTTAAGCGAACTGTCTAGTGGTGATCTTAAAAATCGATGGACTGCACGTTACAAGGGATTGCACCGTCGGCATTCGATTTGAGCCAATACAGGATGACACTTCAATCACCCATGCAAATTAATGCTATTTTCTCTATCTATAAAAGGCAGGATGTGGGGTGTAACGAATGCACGGC